TCCCAGCCAGGGCTTTGTCAAGCCTGGCCTTAAAAACTTCTAAGGAAGGAGATTCTACCACCTCCCTAGGTAACGCATTCCAGTGTTTCACCACCCTCCTAGTAAAAAAGTTTTTCCTAATATCCAACCTAAACCTCCCCCACTGCAACTTGAGACCATTATTCCTCGTTCTGTCATCCGCTACCACTGAGAATAGTCTAGAACCATCCTCTTTGGAACCACCTCTCAGGTAGTTGAAAGCAGCTATGAAATCCCCCCTCCTTCTTCTCTTCTGCAGACTAAACAATATTAGTTCCCTCAGCCTTTCCTCATAAGTCATGTGTTCCAGACCCCTAATCATTTTTGTAGCCCTTCGCTGGACTCTCTCCAATTTTTCCACATCCTTCTTATAGTGTGGGGCCCAAAACTGGACACAGTACTCCAGATGTCCAGATGACTCACCAATGTCGAATAGAGGGGAACGATCACGTCCCTCGATCTGCTGGCTATGCCCCTACTTATACATCCCAAAATGCCATTGGCCTTCTTGGCAACAAGGGCACACTGTTGACTCCTATCCAGCTTCTCATCCACTGTCACCCCTAGGTCCTTTTCCGCAGAACTGCTGCCTAACCATTCGGTCCCTAGTCTGTAGCGGTGCATTGGATTCTTCCATCCTAAGTGCAGGACCCTGCACTTATCCTTGTTGAACCTCATCAGATTTCTTTTTGCCCAATCCTCCAATTTGTCTAAGTCCCTCTGTATCCTATCCCTACCTGCCACCATATCTACCACTCCTCCTAGTTTAGTATCATCCACAAATTTGCTGAGAGTGCAATCCACACCATCCTCCAGATCATTTATGAAGATATTGAACAAAATCGGCCCCAGGACCGACCCTTGGGGCACTCCACTTGATACCGGCTGCCAACTAGACATGGAGCCATTGATCACTACCCGTTGAGCCCGACAATCTAGCCAACTTTCTACCCACCTTATAGTGCATTCATCCAGCCCATACTTCTTTAACTTGCTGACAAGAATACTGTGGGAGACTGTGTCAAAAGCTTTGCTAAAGTCAAGAAACAATACATCCACTGCTTTCTCTTCATCCACAGAACCAGTAATGTCATCATAGAAGGCGATTAGATTAGTCAGGCATGACCTTCCCTTGGTGAATCCATGCTGACTGTTCCTGATCACTTTCCTCTCATGTAAGTGCTTCAGGATTGATTCCTTGAGGACCTGCTCCATGATTTTTCCGGGAACTAAGGTGAGGCTGACTGGCCTGTAGTTCCCAGGATCCTCCTCCTTCCCTTTTTTAAAGATGGGCACTACATTAGCCTTTTTCCAGTCGTCCGGGACTTCCCCCGATCGCCATGAATTTTCAAAGTAATGGCCAATGCCTCTGCAATCACAGCCGCCAACTCCTTTAGCACTCTCAGATGCAACGCATCCGGCCCCATGGACTTGTGCACGTCCAGCTTTTCTAAATAGTCCCTAACCACTTCTTTCTCCACAGAGGGCTGGCCACCTACTCCCCATGCTGTGTTGCCCAGCGCAGCAGTCTGGGAGCTGACCTTGTTCGTAAAGACAGAGGCAAAAAAAGCATTGAGTACATTAGCTTTTTCCACATCCTCTGTCACTACGTTGCCTCCCTCATTCAGTAAGGGGCCCACACTTTCCTTGGCTTTCTTCTTGTTGCCAACATACCTGAAGAAACCTTTCTTGTTACCCTTAACATCTCTTGTTAGCTGCAGCTCCAGGTGCGATTTGGCCCTCCTGATTTCATTCCTATGTGCCCGAGCAACATTTTTATACTCTTCCGTGGTCATTTGTCCAATCTTCCTCATCTTGTAAGCTTCTTTTTTATGTTTAAGATCCGCAAGGATTTCACCGTTAAGCCAAGCTGGTCGCCTGCCATATTTACTATTCTTTCGACACATCGGGATGGTTTGTCCCTGTAACCTCAACAGGGACTCTTTGAAATACAGCCAGCTCTCCTGGACTCCTTTCCCCCTCATGTTATTCCCCCAGGGGATCCTACCCATCAGTTCCCTGAGGGAGTCGAAGTCTGCTTTCCTGAAGCCCAGGGTCCGTATTCTGCTACTCACCTTTCTTCCCTGTGTCAGGATCCTGAACTCGACCAACTCATGGTCACTGCCTCCCAGATTCCCATCCACTTTTGCTTCCCCTACTAATTCTTCCCGGTGAATTGTGAGCAGCAGGTCAAGAAAAGCTCTCCCCCTAGTTGGCTCCTCCAGCACTTGCACCAGGAAATTGTCTCCTACATTTTCCAAAAACTTCCTGGATTGTCTATGCACTGCTGTAGTGCTCTCCCAGCAGATATCAGGATGATTAAAGTCGCCCATGAGAACCAGGGCGTGTGATCTAGTAGCTTCTGCGAGCTGCCGGAAGAAAGCCTCATCCACCTCATCCCCCGGGTCCGGTGGTCTGTAGCAGACACCCACCACGACATCACTCTTGTTGCTCACACTTCTAAACTTAATCCAGAGACACTCAGGTTTTTCTGCAGTTTCGTACCGGAGCTCTGAGCAGTCATACTGCTCCCTTACATACAGTGCTACTCCCCCACCTTTTCTGCCCTGCCTGTCCTTCCTGAACAGTTTATAACCATCCATGACAGTACTCCAGTCATTGAGTTTTCCCACCAAGTCTCTGTTATTCCAGTCACGTCATAATTCCTTGCCTTCACCAGGACCTCCAGTTCTCCCTGCTTGTTTCTAAGGCTTTGTGCATTTGTATATAGGCACTTGAGATAACCTGCTGATCGCCCCTCATTCTCAGTTTGAGGTAGGAGCGCTCCCCGCACAGACGTTCCTGCCTGTGCTTCCTCCCGGTATCCTGCTTGCTCGCTTACCTCAGGGCTTTGGTCTCCTTCTCCCGGTGAACCTAGTTTAAAGCCCTCCTCACTTCCTCAGGAAGTCGGTGGTGTCTCGAAGACAGCTGGGAGTGCTGGTAGCATAGGGTGTGAGGAGAGAGTCCACATCGCCAGATAATCCTGCTGTAAGAGTGCCGATGCCTGAGATGATGGGGTGTCCAGGGTTTCCAGGTTTATGGATCTTGGGTAGCAGATAGAATACCCCTGGTCGGGGCTCTAGGGGTCTGTCTGTGTAGATTTGTTCCCGTGCTGTTGCAGGGATTTGTTCCCGTGCTGTTGCAGGGAGTTTCTTGAGCAGTTGATGTAGTTTCTTTTGGTACTCCTCAGTGGGATCGGAGGACAGTGGCCTTTAGATTGTGGTGTTGGAAAGTTGCCTGGCAGCCTCCTGTTCATAATTGTTAGGGGAAATTAACAATGTTAGCATATGTGACTCCATTTTGGGTTTCCTGTCGGCCATTAACTAGAAGCGAGCACACCACGTACCAAGGGAGGAGGATCCTTCAGGGTGGACAGTCTGGACAGTTTCAAGAGAAGAGAAACAAAGGAGACAGGAACCAGCCGACATGCCTGAAATAGCTGCTAATTCAGCGTTTTTGCAGCGGGAAGGTGGCTGCAGGGGACTGGTGATAGATAAGGAGAAGGCCTGTTTATTGGGTTAGGCCTCCCCCACCCCACCCCCCGCCCCGAGGCACACAGGCAAGATGTTTTGCCAACAGTATATAATCTTTGTGTAACCTGTAATCGGGGTCCCGCTCTGCTTAAGAGAACGGTACCACGCTCGAGCGTAATAAACCTACAAACTCTGAGACACTCTGCAGTCTGTCTTTATTTGGTTGCCTCAGTCTAGAAACGAACTGTGTCTGTCCTAACTGGAATAATTCGTAATAGTTGCTGTGAAATATGAAGGGAAGCTGTCGGGATTCCTGTCCCCGTCCCCGGCTCAGAGCTCTGCTTCCCGTCTCAGCCTGTGGCCGGCAGGCATGTGAGAAATGAGAAGACCCTCCCCTTCTCCGTGTGCTGGGGGGACAAGGAGCTCTCACCGTCTCCCAGCCCCTGGAGCCTCCTGGCCGCTCTGAGCAGGTGCCTGTGGGATTCTGCTACTCTGGCCTTCACTCTTTTCTTTCTTTGCCATGATTAGTGGGACTGTGGCAGGGGCAGCAGGTGCTGAGCGGGGGACTCTTGTTGTTTCAGATGCCGGTGACCTTGGAGGAGGTGGCTGTGTATTTCACCCAGGGGCAGGGGGCTCTGCTGGACCCCGCTCAGCATCTGATGCGTTCTGACCAGTGTTCCCTCAGTTTTTATGTCCAAGTGTGGAATGAATTTGGTTCTACGCAGCAGTAAGTGACACATCATCTCCATATTGGCGCACAGAACAAAATTCATGGGGTGGGGGTGGGGCCGAGGGATTTGGAGTGTGGGAACTGGCTCAGGACTGGGACAGGAATGAGGTGAAGGGGGTGAGGGCTCTGGATTCAGGTGCGGGCTCTGGGGTGGGGCTGGGGATGTGGAGGTTGACGTGTGAGAGGGGGTTCAGGGCTGGGACAGAGGGATGGGGTGCGGAGGGGTGAGTGCTCTGGCTAGGCATGTGGGGGTTGGGACTGGGGATGAGGGGTTTGGGGTTCAGACTGCAGTGGAGAGAGGACTCCCCCAGCCCTCTCTCACCACAGGAGTTTGGGGCCAGGTCAGAGGCAGCTCTCCCCAGCCACGGCGGCTCCTGTGGTCCTCGGCCATGCTGAGGGAGGGGTTCCACTCCCCAGCAGCTCCAGTGGACCTGGGCCAAGCCTGGGGAGGGGCTCCTCTCCCTGCCTGCCTCCACGGCCCTCCATAGCCTGCAGTGCAGCTGTGTAGCCTGCCGGGAACACAGTTTCTGACGCCCGACCTCCCGTTAGCAGAGAGATTGCTAGTCCCTGAGTTCCCCCTTTGGGGCCAGGTTGTCTCATTCCCAGATAGTCAAGCATTTACTCTTTCTACATTTTATCCCTTATGGGCCAGAATTAACCAGATGCTAAAAAGGTGGGAGAAGGGACAGTAAAATGTGGAGTTTTCGCTTCTGTGCTATTTCAGGGCAACGGGGTGAGTGCGAGAGATTCCCTCCTTCCCCTCTCACTGTCACGCTCCTCTCTCCACACAGCAGCCTCTGTCCCAGCCATGGAAAGTTTAACCTGCCTCCGTTCTATCCCTCCATCTCCCACGGTGTCACGTACCACCCTGTCCCTGGCTCTCCATGCTTAGGAGTCACAGCTTTGATGTCTATGATCTTAGTCAGACTCCGGAGGGCTGGAGAAGGAAGTGTCACAGACACTTGGAGTTGGCAGGGAAATCTCAATGAACTTCAAAGCACAGTTGGATGTTCAGATCTTAGAGCCCCGTTTCCATCTATTGGTAAAATTGCTTCCCGGCTTTTTCTAGGTTTGGTCCAGATCTTTTGTAGATGGGAAGGTTGTTTTCTCTTTCGTTCTCTTTCTTTTATGATGATGCTAAAACTTTTGTAACTAATACAGCAGAATAATGAGGCGAGAAGCAAAGCCGGTTTAGCCACTGGAGAAGAAAATGGGTAAATTTCTTCCCCTGATTTTGAGTCTTAAAGGATTCTCTGAGATTTCCACCAACAGGAAGAAAGGGGTAAACAAAGAAACTTACAATTCATCTGTAGCACAGTGTGTAGCTCACTTATGCCACGGAGTGCCCTGACCCCATGACCCAGCAAAGACTTTTCAAGTATATAGGATCCGAGTACAAGAAGTGGGAAAAGGGGTTCTGGCCCCATCTCTACTCAGGGCAGCAAGATCCCTTGAAAGACAATAGGAGCATCATTGAGCTGGGGGAGTGGTCTGAGCTGGAAGGCTTTCCAAAGAGCATGGACTGCTGAAAGCTTTTGGGTGAGAGAAATCCTTTTGCTTGTAAGGGTACGTCAACACCCCAAACTTAAGTTGACCTGTATTAGGTTGACTTATAACCACTCCAGTAATGACTGCGGTAGATGATGTCCCCACTGTCCTCCTTGGGTCGGTGGGGTGTGTCCTCACCAGGAGCACTTCCACCGACCTAGGAGGGGCAATGTGGGGAACTGAGAGCCCGCTCTGCCAACTCCAGCAGCAGCTCTCTGCCAGGAACGTGGCTGGCCTACAAGCTCTGTGTGAATTGCCCCCCATCTAGGCCCCGTTCCCTGCTGGGCTGCCCCCCCCCCCCACTCCCTCTTCCCCATATAGAGCGAGGGAGGCCAGCTGGAGCTTCTCCCTCCTCCCCCCCCCCCCCCCCCCGGCACCATTCCCCTCCCAGTTTGACACCAGACCATAAATAACAACTCTGAGAGCAGTCTTTAGTTGTGCACCCACTTTACAGTAATTGCATCTCGACCAATGAATTCTTCCCTGCTGGTCAGAACTGAGTCTAACCCACCTGCCCCCTGGTTCCTTCCTCCACCATCGGAAAGCAGAACTTGTCCCTGATGCGTTCCCAGCACTTCTGGCACAGTGGGTGCTGTTAGGGTGGCCAGGTGCCCGGTTTTCAACCATTAAGTCCGATGGAAAAGGGGACCTGACAGTGTCCGATCACATCTACTGACCGGACAGCCAAAGTCGAGTTACTGCGGGTGGGGAGGCACTGGGTCATCACTCGCATCAGAGCCGACTCAGCCGGGGCTGTCTCCTACCTGCACTGGGCAGCTGCAGCTCCCAGCCCCGGCTCCACAGACAAGCCCTTCCTGACCTAGGCAGGGAAGGGGGAAAGAGAAGTGGAGGGCGGGTAGGCCCTTGGAGGAAGAGGTGGAGTCAGAGCAGGGCCTTGGAGGGAAGAGGTGGGGCAGGGATGGGACCTTGGGGGGAAGAGGCAGGGCAGGGGAGGTTGCAGCACTCCGACTTGAGTGTCCATTTTTAAAATATTCCCAAATTGGCAACCCGAGTCGCTAGCTGAGAGGTTGTGAACATTTTTAGCAAACATAGAAATAGCTTGGCACCGCTGGAATTGAGAGATGCGAGGAGAGTAAGAAGCACCCACATTTTGTAACCACATGATTAGAATCTAGTTTAATAAATTTTGGTAACCATTTGTGCATAAGCCTGACTTGTTTCTCTGGTTTACTGTAAAGCAGCCAACACAATTAAAGAACCTCAGCCGTTTTGGCTCTAAAGCCTGGCCATTAGGTAAGAGTACTAAGAGCCTAGTGTTGAGTTGTGCCGCCTCCACGGGGCAAACTCTTGGGGCGCCTGTCAGTCAATCCTGACTGCCCACTGCGAGCTCTGAGCTCTAGCAGTTAAAGTCACGGGTGTTTAGGTCCTTGGGGCATCCGTCAGCCTAGCCCGGGCTGCCCGCCGCGAAGGGACAGTGCGTCCTAGCGGTTAAAGTCATGGATGGTATAAAACGGGCATAGCTGGCACCTCACCAAACATCCTTGGCCATCGGCTAACAAAGGGCCAATGAGAAATGAAGATCCTGAGACTGACAAGGGGTGTGGGGGGGAGCGGAGGGGAGGCAATGCTGTGGGTCAGCCTGATTGACAGGGCAGGCAGGCCAATGAGGGAGTCAGCAGCCGGGGTCCTCTCCTTTGTGTCAGCTGGAGCTGGCTGGGCGAGAGCAGAGCAGGAGGGGCTAAGGAGAGAGGAGGGCTGGGCTGGGCTGGAGGCAGAGGGAAACTGGAGCAGCCGGGAGCAGTGAGCGAAGGGGACCCTGGGCAAAGGGCCCAGGGCAAGGAGAGGCCCTCAGCCAAGAGGCCTTGCAGGCCAGACTGGGTGGGGGATCATAACCCTGACAGGAAGCAGCTGACGCTAGGAAGAAGGGTCCTACTACCTGGAGCCTGAGGGCGTGTGGCCAACACCAGAGTTAGTGTCCAACCCTGGGCATGCCTGCAGCACAGTCAGGGTCTGGGCAGGAGGCCTGGGATGTGGGAGGGACAGACTGTGAAGGGCCCTGGCATTCCAGAGAGGGTTGTTTGGGGTTCCCCCCCACAGAGCGGGGTGACATGTTTTCCTTTCATCTTTCCCACTTTTCTCCTTATTTTTGTATTACTTGCTGTTTAATAAATTGTATTTGTTCTTAACTCTGTGCAATGATGAAGGAAGCATCCAGAGTGGACAGAACACCCCACAGTGGAGACAGCTGTCCTGAGTGATCACAAGATTTGGGGTCGAGAACCTCAGGAGCTCTGGGCCCAGCCTTGGGGTTAGGGGGGTCCAGAGTGGAAGCGGGCAGGGAGGGGTCCTCGAGCTCATGCAGGCCTCTGGGTAAAGGACTCAGATCCTTTTGCTTGCCAGTTTTCCCCCCTCTTACCTCTCTGCATATTGATTGGTTTCTAGTAAAGTTAATTCGGATTATAGGGGCAAGTGTGAGAGCGGGCACCAGCGAGAGTTGCTGGCTACACTCTGAGGCCACCAAATTTGGTGGTGAGAACCCCTGGGCAAGATGCTCATGATGGTCCCTTGTGCCTTGGAGCCTGTGAGTGTAACAGGAGCCGGGCACAGGGATGCTGATCCTTCGGTGAGTTGATCGCTAGGACCCAGGAGCGGCTGGGGGGCGGCTCTGGGGGGAGCGATCGCGGGGCTCAGCCCGGCCCAGGAAGTGACTCGCAGCCGCTGCGGGGACTCTGGCTCCCGGCGAGATCCCCGAGCCCCGGCGGCTGGTGCTGGGAGCCCGGAGCCCGGGCTGCAGCCGGGAGAGGGGAACCTCCAGCCGGGCCCTTCCCGCTGCTCCCCGGGAGCCTCTCCCAGGGCAGAGCCCCCAGCCCGGCCAGGGCCCCTTCCCGGCCCGGCCCCTGCCCCGGGGGGCCCCGCTCGGGGGGAAGGTAAGAGAGACCCTCCCATCCCCCCTTGCAGCGGGCCCCCCCCGTCACATCTGGGCTGCAGGGGGAGGAGGATAAAGAGGGGCCGGAGGCGGGTGCAGGGGATGCCGGGGGAGGCTGGGATGGGGGCAGGGGTGCACGGAAGGGAAGATGGGGCAATGGAGGAGGATCGGGGACTGTGGGGCTGAGGGGAGCGAGGTCGGGAATGGGGGAAGACGTGAGTGGGGGGCACAGCGAGGGAAAGGGGGGATGTGGGGAGGCGGGCGGAGAGAAGCTCTTCTCAGCTTTGGGAGTGATCAGGGGACTAACCCCTCAGGGTGCAGAAGCTACACGGAAAAAAACCCAAACCCCCCTCAAACCGCCCCCCCCCCCACGACACACACACCCACCCAGCTCTGAGTGTGTTATTGTCAGACACCCCTGTGGTGGTGGGTTCCTTGTGCCCTGAGTGTTGGGGGCTGCCCAGGGCCCTGGTCTGATTTCCCTGTAGGGTTCAGATCTCAGCTACACCAGAGTCAGACCGGAGTCACTGCTGGCTCAGGCAGGGGGGTGCACGGATGGGTCAATGGGATCAGCCTCTTCCTGCCTGTCCCTGGGGGCTGCCGGGGGAGTCCAGGGCAGCTCAATCTTCAGGTGATGCCACCAGAGGGCTCCAGGTATTGCTAAGGGAGAGGGGTTTACACTGCAATGGGGGGAAATCTCCCAAAGGGGCCCTTTTGATTCTTCCCTTTTCTTTAGCATTTGGCTCAGAGATGCTGTTACTGGGAGGGTCTGAAGAGTCTGGGGAGAATCGGAGTGTGACAGGATAGAAGCCCCTTCTGTAACCTCCCTCTCGCCCTCACAGGCTGAGGAATCAGGTCCACGTTTCACTAAAGATCGGCCAGTCTTCCAGGAGACAGAGAAGGGAAATGGCTGTGATGGAGCCAGCTCAGGTAGGGGAGTCTCAGGGAGCTGCTGGGCGGGGGAGGGAGGAGTCAGGGTTTGATAAACCTACTGATTTACTAAGTAGGCCCGTTGTAGCAGGGAAAGGGGAAGGGGACATTCCCCCATTTCTCAGGCAGGATATAACCACCTCGGCAGGGCTGGGAACATTTTTCAGGCTCCCAGTGCTGGAGCCTGACCCCATTTGCCCGGGGCTGCTGTGAAATACAAAGGGAAGCTGTCGGGATTCCTGTCCCCGTCCCCGGCTCAGAGCTCTGCTTCCTGTCCCAGTCTGTGGCTGGCAGGCGTGTGGGAAATGAGAAGATCCTGGCGTGCTCCGTGTGCTGGGGCGGACAGGGAGCTCTCACCTTCTCCGCCCCCTGAAGCCTCCTGGCTGCTCTGAGCAGGGTGGGGGTGGGATTTTGCTACTCTGGCCCTCCCACAGCTTCACATTTTTTTTTCCTTTCCCATGAGTAGTGGGATTGTGGCTGGGGCAGCAGGTGCTGAGTGGGGGACTCTTGGTGTTTCAGATGCCGGTGACCTTCGAGGAGGTGGCTATTTATTTCACCCAGGGGCAGGGGGCTCTGCTGGACCCCGCTCAGAGAGCCCTCTACAGGGACGTCATGCAGGAGAACTACGAGACCGTGACCTCACTGGGTAAGGGATTCCCGTCCCCTCAGTTATTAGAAGCTGTGGGGTGTGTGTGTCTTAATGTGGTCAGGTTCTTCCCTGGTCAGTTCGAGCAGAGGCGAATGGGTTCCATAATGCACAGCTGCCATATGAGAAATACATGCATTTCGATGCCCTCTCCACTGGGACACGGGAGTCAAAACCCAATGGACAAGCTAAACCATCCCCACCCCTCCATCTTTCAAAGGGACATAAATCCGCATTGTCTTGTCTGTATTGTTTCTTGACTGCCCATACAATCCCTGTTCATCTCCCTCCTTGGGAATAGCTCCAGGCATGAGGAGGGCTCTGGGCTCTGCAGGTTTAGAAAGAGGCAGGGTCTTAAGTGCAGACCTGTGTGTGAGTCAGCAAGGCCCCCAGAGCGCACAGATCCTGGGAACGCCTAGTGAGGGTGTAGTAATAATTCAACTCACCTCCCCAGACAACGTCCTCTGCGCAAGGGGGCTCAGTGACCCTGTTCCCATCCTCTTGGATTCCACCTTCCTCCAGCAGAGCACAGGGACAGGTTCCACTCACGGAACGTCCTTTGTGACAGATCCTCCACCAATGGTCCATGCACCCTGATCTGGACTCATTTCACCCTCTGCACAGGATTTCCCATTCCCAAACCTGAGCTTATCACCCGGCTGGAACGAGGGGAAGAGCTGTGGGTGTCCGATCTCCAGGATTTCAAGGACAGGAGGCTTCTGAGATGCACCAGCACAGGTGAGGCCTGACAGAGAAATTCCATCTAGGGAATGAAGGAAAAAGTTGAGAATCCCAAAATATGATGTGAGTAACGCCCTCAGTTCTTCTTCATCTCACCGAGAGCAGGGCTATGGTCAGCAGATATTGCTCACGCCATTCCACCCTTCCCGTCTCTCCTTCCTTGTAAATGTTAGGGTGGGATGTGGAGGCAGAATCCAATTGCTCAGTCTTTGTGTTGGCTTTTCCCTCAGTGCTATTCCTCTTTCTCCCCAGCACAATGACTCCTTCTGGATTGTGTCTCTCCCAGCAGGTGCTGAGCGAGGGAGTGAGAAGAAGGAGGGGAATCATCATGAGGCAGCTCCTGGGGAAGTGGAACCACAGGGGACCTTTTTGGGAAGAGCTGAAGGGAATTTTTCCCCTTGCTGGAATCAGGGAGAAGCCTGGGGAAATTGGCACAGGACAGAGAGGCTTCTGATAAACCAACCCAGGAAGAAAGTGGATGAATCTGTGAATGGTGGGAGAGGAGACGAGAATCCCAGAGAGCAGCAGACAAATCCCAAGGAAGAGACACCCTGGCACTGCCTTGAGTGTGGGAAAGGATTCATTGTGAGATCACAACTTGTTACACATCAGACAGTCCATACGGGAGAGAAACCATTTCAATGCTTGGACAGTGGGGAAAGCTTCAATAAGCGCAGAGATCTTAATAACCATGGGAGAAGCCACACTGTAGACAAGCCCATTCAATGCGTTGAATGTGGGAAATGTTTCAGTTCAAAGTCAGCACTAAATTCACATGAGAAAAGCCACACAGGAGAGAGACCCCATAAATGTTTGGACTGTGGGAAAAGTTTCACATGGAGGTCGGCACTTGTTAATCATCAGGCAATCCACACAGGAGAGAGAACCCATAAGTGCTTGGACTGTGGGAAAAGCTTCATACAGCGGTCAACCCTCGTTAAACATCAGGCAATCCACACAGGAGAGAGACCCCACAAGTGCTTGGAGTGTGGGAAAAGTTTCACTTGGAGATCAGCCCTTGGTTATCATCTGAAAATCCATACAGGAGAGAGACCCCACAAGTGCTTGGACTGTGGGAAAAGTTTCATATGCAAGTCAGATCTTGCTGATCATCAGGCAATCCACACAGGAGAGAGACCCCACAAGTGCTTGGACTGTGGGAAAAGTTTCATACGAAGGTCACGCCTTATTCAACATCAGGCAATCCACACAGGAGAGAGACCCCACAAGTGCTTGGATTGTGGGAAAAGTTTCATACGAAGATCACGCCTTGTTCAGCATCAGGCAGTCCACACAGGAGAGAGACCCCACAAGTGCTTGGACTGTGGGGAAAGTTTCATTTGCAAGTCAGATCTTGCTGATCATCAGGCAATCCACACAGGAGAGAGACCCCACAAGTGCTTTGACTGTGGGAAAAGTTTCAAGCGGAAATCAGTCCTTATTCGTCATCAGGCAATCCACACAGGAGAGAGACCTCACAAGTGCTTTGACTGTGGGAAAAGTTTCAAGGAGAGGTCAGACCTTGTAAAACATTGGGCAGTCCACACAGAAGAGAGACCCCACAAGTGCTTGGACTGTGGGAAAAGTTTCATACGAAGGTCACGTCTTGTTCGTCATCAGGCAATCCACACAGGAGAGAGACCCCACAAGTGCTTGGATTGTGGGAAAAGTTTCATAAGAAAGTCACACCTTGTTCAACATCAGGCAGTCCACACAGAAGAGAGACCCTACAAGTGCTTGGACTGTGGGAAAAGTTTCAAGCAGAGGTCATACCTTGTAAAACATCGGGCAGTCCACACAGAAGAGAGACCCCACAAGTGCTTTGACTGTGGGAAAAGTTTCAAGCAGAGGTCATACCTTGTAAAACATCGGGCAGTCCACACAGAAGAGAGACCCCACAAGTGCTTTGACTCTAGGAAAAGTTTCATGCAGAGGTCACACCTTGTTAAACATCAGGCAATCCACAAAGGAGAGAGACCCCACAAGTGCTTTGACTGTGGGAAAAGTTTCATGCAGAGGTCACACCTTGTTCAACATCAGGAATTCCACACAGGAGAGAGACCCCACAAATGCTTGGATTGTGGGAAAAGTTTCATAAGAAAGTCACACCTTGTTCAACATCAGGTAATCCACACAGGAGAGAGACCCCACAAGTGCTTGGACTGTGGGAAAAGTTTCATACGAAGGTCAGAGCTTGTTTATCATCAGGCAGTCCACACAGGAGAGAGACCCCACAAGTGCTTGGACTGTGGAAAAAGTTTCATACAGAGATCAGCGCTGGTTAAACATCAGAGAATCCACACAGGAGTGAGACCCTATAAGTGCTTGGACTGTGGGAAAAGTTTCACATGGAGACCGGCACTGGTTAAACATCAGAGAATCCACACAGGAGAGTGACTCTACAAGTGCTTGGACTGTGGGAAAAGTTTCAGACAGAGATCATACCCCATTAAAAATGGGAGAATCCACACAGGATGAACGTGGTCCACTCCCAATGACTGATGAGGAGGGGTCAATACCAAGAGAGGGAAAATTGCTTTTGTAGTGAGCCAGCCACTCCCAGTCCCTCTTCAGGCCCAAATTGTTGGTTTTAAGTTTGCAAATGAATTGTAGCTCTGGAGTTTCTTTCTGAAGTCTGTGTTTGAAGTTTTTTGGTTGAAGGCTACTTTTAAATCTGTTATTGAATGTCCAGGGAGAGTGAAATGTTCTGCTACTGGCTTTTGTGTGTTACCGTTCCTGATGTCGTATTGGTGTCCATTTATTCTTTTACATAGAGACTGTCCGGTTTGGCCAATGTACGTGGCAGAGGGGCATTGCTGGCCCATGATGGCATATATCACATTGGTAGATGTGCACGTGAATGTGCCCCTGATGACATGGCTGATATGGTTAGGTCCTATGATGGTGTCGCTAGAGTAGAAATGGGGACAGATTTGGCAATGGGATTTATTGCAGGGATTGGTTCCTGGGTTAGTGTTTCTATGGTGTGGTGCTGGTGAGTATTTGCTTCAGATTGGGAGCTGTCTGTAAGGGAGGACTGGCCTGCCTCCCATGGTCTGTGAGAATGAGAAATCCTTTTCCAGGATAGGTTGTAGATCGTTGATGATGTGCTGGAGAGGTTTTAGCTGGGGGCTGTACATGATGGCCAGTGGTGTTCTGTTATTTCCCGTGTTGGGCCTGTCCTGTAGAAGGTGACTTCTGGGTATCTATCTTGCTTTGTCAGTCTGTTTCCTCAGGAGCTGGAGGCATGTAGGTAAGCATAGAGGTCACTAGGTTTCCAGTATAGGGTGGTATTTATGTGACCATCACTTATTTGCACTGTAGTGTCCAGGATCTCTTGTGTGGACTGGTCCAGGCTGAGGTCGATGCTGGGGTGGAAATTGTTGAAATCCAGGTGGAATTCTTCAAGGGCCTCCTTCCCATGGGTCCATAGGATGAAGATGTCATCAATGTAGCGCAAATAGAGGAGGGGGCGCTAGGGGACGAGAGCTGAGGAAGCGTTGTTCTAAGTCAGCCATAAAGATGTTGGCATGCTGTGGGGCCATGCGGGTACCCCTAGCAGTCCCGCTGACTTCAAAGTATAAATTGTCCCCAGGTCTGAAATGGTTGTGGGTGAGGACAAAGTCAGAAAGCTCAGCCACCAGGTGTGCCGTGGCCTCATCAGGGATAATGTTCCTGACAACTTGTAGCCCATCCTCATGTGGAATATTGGTGTAAGATCACCAATACGTTGTAGTTTCCTCAGGAAGTTGGTGGTGTCTCGAAGATAGCTGGGAGTGCTGGTAGCATAGGGTGTGAGGAGAGAGTCCACATCGCCAGATAATCCTGCTGTAAGAGTGCCAATACCTGAGATGATGGGGTGTCCAGGATTTCCAGGTTTATGGATCTTGGGTAGCAGATAGAATACCCCTGGTCGGGGCTCTAGGGGAGGGTCTGTGTAGATTTGTTCCCGTACTGTAGCAGGGAGTTTCTTGAGCAGTTGGTGTAGTTTCTTTTGGTACTCCTCAGTGGGATCGGAGGACAGTGGCCGTTAGAATGTGGTAGAATTCTAGAATATGAGGGTTGGAAGGGACCTCAGGAAGTCATCTAGTCCAACCCCCTGCTCAAAGCAGGACCGATCCCCAATTAAATCGTCCCATCCAGGGCTTTCTCAAGCCTGACATTAAAAACTTCTTAGGAAGGAGATTCCACCACCTCCCTAGGTAACGCATTCCAGTGTTTCACCACCCTTCTAGTGAAAAAGTTTTTCCTAATATCCAACCTAAACCTCCCCCACTGCAACTTGAGACCATTACTCCTTGTCCTGTCATCGCTACCACTGAGAATAGTCTAGATCCATCCTCTTTGGAACCACCTTTCAGGGAGTTGAAAACAGCTATCAAATCTCCCCTCATTCTTCTCTTCTGTAGACTAAATAATCCCAGTTCCCTCAGCCTCTCCTCGTAAATCATGTGTTCCAGTCCCCTAATCATTTCTCTTGCCCTCCGCTGGACACTCTCCAATATTTCCACATCCTTCTTGTAGTGTGGGGCCCAAAACTGGACACAGTACTCCAGATGAGGCCTCACCAACGTCGAATAGAGGGGAACGATCACGTCCCTCGATCTGCTGGCAGTGCCCCTACTTATTCATCCCAAAATGGCATTGGCCTTCTTGGCAACAAGGGCACACTGTTGACTCATATCCAGCTTCTCGTCCAGTGTAACCCCTAGGTCCTTTTCTGCAGAACTGTTGCCTAGCCATTCGGTCCCTAGTCTGTAGCAGTGCATTGCATTGTTCCGTCCTAAGTGCAGGACTCTGCACTTGTCCGTGTTGAACCTCATCAGATTTCTTTTGGCCCAATCCTCCAATTTGTCTAGGTCCCTCTGTATCCTATCGCTACCCTCCAGCATATCTACCTCTCCTCCCAGTTTAGTGTTGTCTGCAAACTTGCTGAGGGTGCAATCCACACCATCCTGCAGATCATTAATGAAGATATTGAAGAAAACCGGCCCGAGGACCGACCCTTGGGGCACTATGCTTGATACCGTCTGCCAACTAGACATGGAGCCATTGATCACTACCCGTTGAGCCCGACAATCTAGCCAATTTTCTACCCACCTTATAGTGCATTCGTCCAGCCCATACTTCTTTAACTTGCTGACAAGAATACTGTGGGAGACCGTGTCAAAAGCTTTAATACAGCCAAGGAACACCACGTCCACTGCTTTCCCTTCATCCACAGAATCAGTTATCTCGTCACAGGAAAGTTGTAGGAAAGGTGCCTGGCAACCTCCTGTTCATAATTGTTAGGGGAAATTAACCTAGTTAGCATATGTGACTCCATTTTGGGTTTCCTCTCGGCCATTAACTAGAAGCAAGCACACCACGTACCAAGGAAGGAAGGAAGGATCCTTCAGGGTGGACAGCTGGACAGTTTCAAGAGAAGGGAAACAAAGGAGACAGGAACCAGCCGACATGCCTGAAATAGCTGCTAATTCAGCGTTTTTGCAGGGGGAAGGTGGCTGCAGGGCATTGGTGATAGATAAGGAGAAGGCCTGTTTGTTGGGTTATGCGCCCCGAGGCACACAGGCAGGATGTTTTGCCAACAGTATAGAATCTTTGTGTAACCTGTAATTGGGGTCCCGTTCAGCTTAAGAGAATGGTACCACGCTCGAGCGTAATAAACCTACAAACTGTAAGACACTCTGCAGTCTGTCTTTATTTGGTTGCCTCAGCCTAGGAACGAACTGTACATGTCCTAACTGGAATAACTCGTAACAGTTTGGGACTCTAGGCTCGCCCTCATAAGCGAAGCCGCACTCCTTCCCTCGGATAACTCCAGCCGGTACTGGGTGAGTTCACCTTCGAGAACTTGGAGGAACGGGTGTGTGGGCTGTCGTTTAGGCGATAGGCTGGCACCTTAGGCGTTTTTTTGGTAGCCCTAGAATGGGCTCTGGGCAGAGTGTGAGCAGGGGAATCCCTTTGGCTGAGATTTTCGGGAATTGGAAAAATATTTCTGGCACCCATGGGTTAGGTGAAAGGAGAACTGTAATTTTGTATAAAGTCTAGTGGCCAGCGCTGACTATTCAGACGCCCTTTGGATGGCCACCCGACGGAACTTTTGCACAGGATGAATTAACCTGCCTTAGACAACAGCTGGAGGACAAGCATCCAGCTGAAATGGATTATTGGTATGTATGGGATAATTGGGCATACGCCCGAGATAAGAGGCGCCCCTCGACTTTGGGCTCTGGTACCAGATCTAAAGTTTGCATGCTGCTTGCAGGTTCCGCTCCGCCCTATGCTGCTTTCCCTCCTCTGTCTCTTCCCGCTACTCCTCCTCCTGTTGCCCCTCTATAGCCGTCTCTAACCCTACCCCCAGTTGCGCTTCAAGCACCCGATACAACAACCCGTTGCGACGAGCAATGACCGTGTCACTATGGTCACGGTCCACCGCCCTTTTGGGCCTGGGGACCTGGTCACCTGGCAGTTACAGATGCCGAGGTTGCGCGACGATCCGGAAAGAGTCCTACAGACTATCCGTTCAGTCCTTACGGCATTTAACCCTAACTGGGCAGACGTCCAGGCTATTTTGCAAACCCTATTTACCCCTGACGAGAAGTATTCTATTCTAGACGCCAATCGGCGTTGGGCGGGGGACGCTGAGAATCGCACCCCTTGGCCCGAAGCCGATCCAGGTTGGGATCCTAACGACCTCAATGGCCGGGCCAGCCTCTCAGCTGCCCGGGAAGGGCTCCTGGAGAGCATCCGTAGGGTGGGTAGTAAGACGGCAAATTGGTCAAAAATTAGAGAGTGCCAGCAAGACCTAAACGAGCATCCGTCTGCATGTTTGGCCAGCTTGTTTAAGCAGGTTAGAATGTTTGGGGGAGGGGTGGAGCCAGAAGCCGAGGTTAGCCGCATGATGATGGTCTCTTACTTTGTCGATCAAGCGGCACCGGACATAAAGAAGTATTTAACTAAACATGTTCCCGATTGGCCAGGGAAAACCATAAGTGAAGTAGTTCGCCTGGCCACTTTTGTATTTAATGGTAGGGGCAAGGAGAAAGCTAAGGAAAAACGTAAGCAAAAGGAGAGGAAGTAAATATGTTGGCAGCCGGGATGCAGCACTGACAGGGACACGG